CTGTGCAGTCGCTACTTCGGCTGAGCCACAGAGAAGTTCGTCGCAAACCATTTTAATTGGCGTCTAATGACAATTTGCCGGATGTAAATTTCCACCCAGGTCTAAGTTTGCCTCCGTTGACAATCACGTTTAATGGATTCCGGAATTTGGCGAATCCTTACGTTTTAATAATAATGATAATAATAATCCTTGTATTTGATATTGCGCCTTATCACCTCGTTCAGGCGTCTCAAAGCGCTTCACAGGATTATACTGTGAAGTAGATTGAGTGTATATTTTGTGGGCGAAATGCGGAATTTTGCCTTCAAAGTCAATTCATTGTAAATGAAAGCCTTTACTTTCAAAGTTGTTTTTTTTCCCCCTCTTTTTGAGTTTGTTTCTTTGAAGAATCTGGTTTCGGTGCCCCCCAAAAAACGGAGTTGGGCCCCAGATTTTGCACCTTCTCAAATGCTGCGTCAACAGAGTGAATCGAGACTCAGGTGGAATTTTAATTTGCAGTGTTTCTTCATTAACATTAAGGAACCTGTTAAGAAGCTGAGCCTTTTTTATTGCATCGCTTGTAGCTCTGTGAACATCTCTGTGAGCATCAGCACAAGAGACTGGATGAAATTGTGCTAATGGTGAAGGTTTCTGTGTTTAAATCTTCCGTCCGTCCCCCCCCAACCTCAACCCCGGACTGATTATTTCTTATATTTCTTACTCAGAAACAAATGTGTTGAATGTTTAACACCCTGACAAGTCTGGGGCTCATTCATTCATTCATAGGTGCAAAAAATAATTATTTATTCCCTCCCACCCCCCCCTTCAGCTATCACACAGAACTAAATTAACCTTTGTAACGAGCCAGGATGCGTGTGTGTGGCGGATTGTCTAATTAACGCGTACAATTGTGGAACCTGGGCTTCCAATAGCTCAGTGCCTTTTAAGGCTTATAGAAATAATAGGAATAAGTCTCTGGCTGACTGCATAAAACACCAGAGTAGCAGGAGCGGAGGTTAATGTTGGGTGCAGCGGTCTGATTATGAATCTGTAGCACAGCCGCTGCAAATGAGGTTTTAGTATCTTGTTAATGGCGATACTCTTGTAGCTTTCTGTTGCGTTGATATAAGTGGATCCTTTAGATAATTAATGAGAAGCTGAGGTGCAGCATGAAAAGAGAAGCATTACCTTGAAATGGTGCCTCCCGTCTCTGTCTGATTAACAGTAATGATGGGACCGCTGAGCCACTGTGCCCGCTCCCTCCCTCCCTCTCTCTCGCTCTCGCGCCCGCCCGCTTGCCCGCCCGCCCGCCTGCCTGCCGGAGATTTAACTCCTCGAGCGCCGCACTCAAGCTCGCCGTCCCCTTTTGAGGCAGTTCAGGCATTAGAAACCAACTGCGGTTGAGAGACATGCGTTCGCTGGGAACAGATTCAATGAGAACCACTTTTGTGTGTGTGTGTGTGTGTGTGATTGTGTGTGTCAGTATGGATGAGAGAGTGTGTGTGTATGTGTGTGTGTGTGAGACTGTGTGTGTGTTTGAGTGTGTGTTTTCTGCATGTACGCGTGAGTATGTTTGTAAGTGTGTGTGTGTGTGAGTGCGAGCGTGTACACATGTGCGTGTGTGAGTGACAGATACTCCACATGTGTGTGAGTATGTATGAGTCTGTGTGTACATGCACATGTGTAGGTACATTTGTGTGTGTGTGTGTGTGTGTGGTGGTGGGAGGGAATTAATTTGCAACAACTCTTAACAGATTTCTTGATAAGAAATGTACAGTTATCAAATCTCAAAACCCATGGATCGTATTCTCCAGCACATTTGGTACTTTAGAAATGAGATAATTACCCCGTTTCTTGATAAGAAATCGGTTAAGAAATACAGCAAAATAGACCCCCAGTATTTCAATGGCTGCCTCTATTCTACGATAGTTTCCATTCCAGTTCTAGGCGTGCAAATGCTGTTTTGAAGGATTTGAGGTGAAGGGACTGGTAGAAGTGGGCAATAAAAGCACTGATGAATAAGGTGAAAGACACAGTCGTAAGCCTGCCATCAAATATTGCTTGGTGTTAAAAATGTTCTTTAATGAAATTTACTATACAGTAGTGAGTGCAGTTTTCCTTGCATTTGATACAGTGCCTGATCATGTCAGGGGAATGTCTGGAAGTCTCAAATGCACGGGATATTTGCTGTGAATGTAGTGACTGTGTATTTTGACTTTGCGTCTTGTACAGCAAAGTCCCGCGCACAGCTGCGAAGTGAATGACCCATTTTATCTGGGGGGGTGGAGGGGTGGGGGGGTGGGGGTGGGATTGTCGGTCAGGACTCCGGGAAAGAGAAACTCGATTCTGTTTTTCAAATAGCTTCACGGGATCTTTACGATAGACCTAAGCAGGCAGGCGGGACTTTGAGTTTTAACGGCTCAGATGAAGGCAGCACTCCCCTCAGCATTGCACTGGAGCATCAACCTGGCGGAGGGCTAGTAGGGTTTTGGGTCTCGCTTTAAGACCCCGTGTCTTCCACTGAGCCTAGGGTCACCCACCCACCTCCCATGTCTCCTTTGCTCAGTGAATGCGAAAATAATCATCTATTTCAACAATAATAATCCTGGCATTTGATACAGCGCCTTATCACGTCGTTGAGACATCTCAAAGCGCTTCACAGGAGAACACTGTGAAGCGAATTGACTGTAGATTTTGTGGGCCAAACAGGGCAGCCAATTGCAGACGGCAGTATCTGTCCCCACAAACAGTCGTGGATTGAGTGACCGGGTTTTATTTTGAGGTTTGTTACCCCCAGCAAAGGGATCCGGCAATTGACTAACACCCAGGTTCCTACTTACTGCTGGGGAACCAGAGGCGTGTGTGTGGAGTAAGGAAACTTGCCTAAGGAATCAAGCCCAGGTTCTCTTGCTTGTGAGGCGCGTGCTCTAAGCGCTACGCTACACCACATTCTGTTTTCAAGGGATAGCTGCAATCTTATCGTTAAAGAAAGCCACTAAACTCATTAACCCGCTTTGGCAGCTTGGAGCATTGGAGGGCATGTGGATCATTAGACATTGACACTGGATTGAAACCAAGCCCGTTGTGTCTGACGAGCCGGATCTGGGACTGACAGAGAGCCTTTTGTGTGTGTGTGTGTGTGTGTGTGTTATTTCTCTCAACTCCTCTTGGAAGTCAAGTCAAACTTCATTAAGAGAAGCTTAAAGTTGAGGCTTGTTATTGGGCGTAACTTCCTGAAGGGAGGACATCTTAAGTGGAGAAGGGTCCACTCCCAACAACGACAACAACAACAACAACATCAAGTTACATTCCAGTGGGGGAGAGGGGAGGGGAAGTGAGGCGTGATTATTTACCCCCAAAATGGCTGTCAAGCCATTCGCAAATTATCACCTGGTCCACGGGTATGAGAACTCCCCCTCCTGTGCCCAGTGAACCACCACCCACCCCTCTCCGACCCTCACCACCGATGGTCGAGCTGTCAGTATTTCCCCTCACCCTCCCCATTTTCAGCTCCCCGCTGGCTGGGGTTGACAGCCTTGTGAGCTGAATGTTGCTGTATAAATATAAATTATAATTACAGTGTCATTAGAGCCCAGAGCAGCAGAAATAGCTTGCAGTTTGTCTGATGGTGTAAGAGACGTGGGGGGGTGTGTGTGTGCGGGGGAGGAGAGGGAGCGCGTGGTGGTGGGGAGGGGTGGGGGGGGGGGTTGTTGGAGTGAAGGTACCTGCTAGCCGGGTGTGCGCCGTGACCCTAATGTCTAGTTATTGATTAGCGCGATTAGGAACGATTAATAATTCCTCCCAATTAATCCCTTAAACTTCTTAAAAACACTGACTGTGCATTAATACATGTAATGTGGCGGTTAAGACGGGATAAGAAGCAATATTGCTTGATGTGTGAATAGGTAGGGCTCAATCCCTTTTGCTAACTTAAAGGGTAATTTATGTAATTAATGTTGCTGGTGTAGAAGATCTGTGGAGATGTCCAGGGACTGAGGGAAGGATTTATTAATTCGCAGACTGTGACGCGCAGAGAAGAAACAAGGTGCTTAAGAGAGGCTGAAGATCTTTTTTGACATATTCGCAAAATCTGCAGACAGATGCTTCCGATGTCTAGAGAATTCCTGATACACATTTATCTGATTAGCGGAGATAGAGACTGGATTAGCACTCGGAGGGTTGGGGGTTGGGGGGTCGGGGGTTGGTGGAGGGGTGGGGGTGGGGGGGAGGGAGAGGGGGAAGGAGGTGGGAGAGAGAGGTGGGGTGGTTACTGAAAGGAGGGGTGAACGACTTACAGGAGGAACGGTTTAAAATGGCTCAAGGAACCTGAACGCTTATTAGGCAGCGCAGGTCACTTTGTTATTGGATGTCAGTGCTGTGCTGCGCTGCGCTGCCCCATCGCAGGTTAGCCCCTCGTTGCCTGACTGTAAAGCCTCTTGTAAAGTGCCCGGTCAGGCCCTGCGAGCAGCTTTTGTTCTGTAAGTAGCGTCGAGTGTTTTCCAAGTGCTTAATGCGCTCGCCTCGTTTTTAACACAGTGCTTCCCTTCAGCTGCGTGGGCTAAGGGAGTGTTTCGAACACGGTTCCCATTTGCGCGCGCGTGTGTGCGTTTTTTTTTATTACTTTCAAGAAGCTTTTGACATTGCCGGAGAACTCGACACTGAGAAGTTCTAATTGTTATTCAGAATAATTCTTCTCATTAATAGCGGTAACCGATATGAACGGGGTGTTTTATATTTTGTCTCCCGATAATCATACGGATCTTTTAAGCTGCATTTTTTTGGTTGAGGCCGAGAGCAGAGGCACTTATAAAGCCAGTCGGGTGGAGGTTTTTGAGTTGCCTGCTCAGTTAACGGGCGAGCGAGGAGCACAGGTGTAAATATCAGCGGCCTCTCGCTTGTGTGGTGCAGAAGAACAGAGCTCGCTGGTCAAGCATGGCGTTTGATGTGGCCCGATTTGCCGGGATTTAACCCAGACCTCACACCTCTCTCTCTCCCTCTCTCTCTCTCATCTCACGTTACAGTCGTGAAAGCGATCTGTCAACCATCATCTCCAACCTCCATCAGAGCAGGCAACACGGAATGCCAGAGAGTCAAGGCCGGACTGAGATAAAGAACAACGGCATAGACTTACTCCCAGGACAGGCCGGTAAGTGTATCAAATATTGATGGGTAACATTAGTGGCTTTTATGGTAGGCGCGGGGGGGTGGGGGGGGGGGGGGAAACATAAACAAATGCGCTTCAGGAGGTGGCTTTAATGGCCGGTAAGTTTCACTAACGTTTAGTCCCGCGGGGGGACTTTGTTGCGCCATTTTGCACACCAAAGTGGAGACTGGTTTTCACGCTGTTTGCCGATGGCGGCAGAGGTTCTGACTTGCAAAGAGTTAGTGCCGTTCAGGCGGACACAGCCAGGCACCACCACCAACAACAACTTGCAGTTTACATCGCGTCCTGTGTGTAGGATGACAAGTGGGACATTGAGCTCCTGCAGCAGAATAACTCGAGCGCTAACTATTCCGGTCGCGGGAAATGGGGAATAGGGGTTAGGGTTAGGGTTTCTTAATGAGAGAAATGACATGGGGACGTAGGGAATGTGACTCCTATTTTGAGGCAGAGGTTCCTTCACGTCATTCCCCCAAATGAAACCGCCCGCTCACTGTGTGGCTGTGTGTGGGGTGCTGCTGCTGTTGCGTGCGGAAATGTCTGCTGAGCTGGCCCACAAAACACACAGTCACTCCACTTTGCAGTATAACCTGCGATGCGCTTTGGGACATGTTCCAAATACAAGGATTTATTATTATTATTATTATTATTATTATTAGAAGCCGGCTCCACCTTTATTGATCTAACGTAAACTTCATCAGCCATAAACTCTCGGGGTGGGGGGGCAAAAGAAATGTCCAGTGAAACGGTCTGCGACGGACGGAGTTTGGTCCAAACCAAGGATGGAGTTTTGCTCCTGGGAGCAATGTGGGCTCTCATTATTTGGCTTAAGTGTTTCCTTAAAATCTAGCATCAGTTCTCAGCGCTGGATGCATCAGCTTCAAGTTGCAGGTTTGGGCTCTGGAGTCTGTGGGAGGAATTTAATGCGCGGAGGAAGACTCAGTGTTGATAAAAATCTAATTGCCGTATTGATCAGTGCTGGAGCCAGTGATAGGAGCATCAGTAATTGAGATGTTTCTGTTGCTGCGGTCAGCTCTCTCTCTCTCTCTCTCTCTCTCGTCTCTCTCTCTCTCTCCCCCCCCCCTCCTCCCAACCGGTCTCTCTCTCTCTCTCTCTCTATCTATCTATATATATATATTTTTATAGGGTGACCAAAAACGCATGATAACTAGCCTAATATCGTTATAAATCATCATTTCTGATTTCAGTTGTGTCCGTCTATTAAAGTTTGCGTCTCAAAACACGTGGAACTTTAGAACTCCATCCCACATTCCCCCTCGCCTCGCCTCGCCTCGCTCCTTCCCTTGTCTCCTCCAAACCCCGTCTCAAAACCCTCCTCTTCGACCGCGCCTTCGGCCGCCCTCCTGCCCTCCGCCCTCCCTCCCCGATCCCGACCCTCAGCTCGGGTCCAGATCCGTGAACTTCCAGCCTCTGGGGACGTCCTCCCGACGTGAAAGGCGGGCGCTGTGCGGATGTCATTTTGTGATGTTGTGTGTCAGCCGTTCCTTAAACCCTCTCTTCCCTTCTCCGATCTTCCCTCTCCCTCCCTCCCTCCCTCCCTCCTCCTCTCCTCCTCTCCTCCAGGTGTCGAGTCGTGTTGGGACACAGTTCCACAGATGCTGGCGGCTTTCCAATTGCCTCGACCGAGTGACCATTCCTCATGCGTCAGCCCAGACAGTGAGTGTCAGTCAGTTGGCTGTTTGCACGTGTGTGTATATGGGGTGGGAGGGGAGGGGTAGGGGAGATGGGGTGAGTGGAGGGGGATGGGAATTGGGAAGGAAGGTGTCTCGCAGCTGAAATTCTGTTCTGTTCTTGGTAATAATAATAATAATAATCCTTGCATTTGATGCAGGGCCTTTCAGGCCTGGAGGAGGCCCAGGAGCGCTTTGCAATATTGACCGCGAAGTGTAGTGACTGTGTGTTTGCAGGCCAACGTGGCAGCCAATTTGCACACAGCAATGCCCCCGACGTGAAAGGCGATGCACGTGCAAATTGTGGCGGCTGTTGTTGTGGTCGTCGACCCACAAACAGCCGTGCAGTGAGTTGACCGATTATACTTTTGGTCAGGACACCGGAAGAAACTCCCTTCTCTTTACGAGTAGCCCCGAGGTCAAAGTCTACCCGAACAGACAGACAGGAACCTCGGTCTCGTCTGAAAGACGGCGTCTCCGAAAATGCAACACTGCACTGGAGCCGTCAGCTTAGACGATGTGGGTTCAAATCCCGACATGTGGGGCTCGAACCCGCAACCTTCTGACTCTGAGGCGACCCACTGATGTCAACACTTTTGAACAGCGGGGGTCAGGCTGATGGTGGGGGTCAATCGCGCGATGCTTCTTAATGAATTTCTTAATTAAGGAATCCAAGTGGGGGCTTGTATTGATTAACTGGAAGCTAATCGCTCCGGGAAACCTGAGAGAACCTGCTGTCAGATTGAGTGGAAGCGGCGATATTGACCTTCGGATTTCTTAATTAAGAAATACTGCAAAATAGCCCCACAAGAAATGGTGACTCTGCCTGATTTCCCCCCCCCCCACCGCGCCCCCAACCCCCAATTCCCCACCTTTTTTCCTAAGACCCAACAAATTCCCCCCAAATAAAACCGGGTCACTCGCTTCACCTCGCCGCTGTTTGTGGGGGGGCGTTGCAAATTGCCTGCCGCTTTGCTTCAGTGGGACTGTGTGGACGCACAGTCGCTACACTTGGCGGTAAATTTGGCGAAGCACTTCGGGCCGTCCTCTGGGTGTGAAAAGCCCCCGTATCAGATGCGATGGATGATCGCCGCTCAGCCCCGCTGGGGCTACTCAGGATTAAAACATGTCACCTCTCCTGCCCTTTCATACTCGCGCTGTCTAAGTTGACTTGCTTTCCTGGGGGGGTGGGGGGGGGAGATGCTGGGATGTGATGATCTCACTGGCTGCGAGGGCCTTTGATCCCCGACATCATTGTGGGGGAGCGTGTTTCCGTTGTCGGAGACGCCCTCCTTCGGAGGAGAGGTTTAAGCGCAACTTCTCTGCCACGTTCCGCCGACAAAATGTCCTCGGGGAAACGGCCTCCAGGCATACGTAAGTCCGTGGCAGGCCTTCCGCACCCGCAACCAACAGCGTGCGAACCCCCTCGTTGCCTCGTTTACCCCGAAAATACAACGGGCGGTCAGTGTCTGCTTCCACAGAGCTCTCGGAGAGACAAGGCGCTGTCTCAAAATGGAAGGATTATTATTAATATCTTCACATTCTCCCCAAACACCCACCTCCCCCACACCCCCTCCTCCTCTCCCCTCCCCTCCCTCCCTCCGCCTTTGGAGAAGAATTAATATGATCTTAAGCTCTTGAGTAATGGAGCATAGTGGCTACTTGTGCGTTAAGCACATTTGCTTTAACTTGAGAGAGAGGGAGAGAGAGAGAGAGAGGAGAGAGGATTGTTGCAAACGCCACTAATCTTAATTGAGAAAGGCACAGGGCTGGACAGACAGACAGACAGACAGACAAGACAGACAGACAGACAGGGCTTCCTGACATAGCATAGCAGCAAAGCTGGTGGTTTGCGCATTAAGCAAGGATTTAGAGAGCCTTTAAGCAGCTAGATTTGTGTCTGTAAACAAGTCCAATCCTCTGATCCAGTTTAGCTAATTCTGTCTGTTGTATTTTACTTTATGGTATTCTATATGTGTTTTTTTTAATGTCGCGCGGGTGTGGGGAACCGACAGCGGTGGGTGGGGGGGGACATTCAAACGTAAGGTGTGGGTCGTGGGTCCAAGTCCGACCGTTTCTGTCTGATGGCTCGTCGCCCGCTCCGCACCTCTGTAATCAGTAATCTCCCTCACTCTCCCGCGAAACACTTCCCCTCCCCAACTCCCCCCCCCCCCCCCACCCCCCCCCCCCCCAACGCGCGCACACACACACGCACACTCTCAGTGACTCCCTCCTTTCGGTGTCTTGAGTACTTAGCCGGTGTGTCAGTCACCCTCACTCTCTGGGACTCCTTCCCAAATCCCTCCACCCACTCCCCTCCCCCCAACCCCTCTGGTCCTTTTCTTTAAAAAAGACAAAACTGCAGAAAAGCAGCTTCGAAATTAAAAGGCAGAATTTTTAAGAGTTGCCCCCCCCCCCCCAGACTTGCGGGATCTGAAATTTTAAGACGTTCCAAAAAAAAGAGCAATTGGCCTTACGAGCAACGGACCATCTGTGCAGAAATGGCTGCTGGGTTCGCCTGCAGAATACGGTCAACAACAACAACATGTTGCCTTTGTGCAGCCCCCCCCCAACCCCCGCCCCTTCCACGTCGAGAGGACGTCCCAAAGGCGTTGGGACAGTCGAGGGTTGAGTTGAGTTATTAAACGGGGTCAGATCTTAAGGTGGATTGATTGTCTGAGACGACGCCCGGTGCGAGGATGGTCAGTGGGTGAGGATGGCTTTGTATCATCTTCTGGTCCAGCGCCTTGGGACGTCCTCCAGACCTGAGAGGCGCAAAACTATAAATACAAGTTGTTGTTGTGTCTGTGAGTGAGTGTGAGTGAGTGTGAGTGAGTGAGTGTATGTGAGTGTGTGTGAGAGTGAATGTGTGTGAGTGAGTGTGAGTGAGTGTGTGTGAGTGAGTGTATGTGAGTGTGTGAGTGAGTGTGTGTGAGTGAGTGTAAGTGTGTGTGAGTGAGTGTATGTGAGTGTGTGAGTAAGTGTGAGTGTGTGTGTGTGTGTGAGTGTGAGTGAGCATATGTGAGTGTGTGAGTGAGTGTGTGAGTGAGTGAATGAGTGAGTGAGTGTGAATGAGTGTCTGAGTGAGTGTGAGTGAGTATGAATGTGTGTGCGAGTGTGTGTGGGGATTATAATCCCCAAAAAACAATCATAAATTGGTCATTTTCAATCTACGACTGTTTGTGGGACATTGCTGTGCGCAATCGACTGCCGCGTTCGCCCACAAATATACAGTCAATTCACTTTACAGTGTGTGTCTGTGAAGCGCTTTGGGACGTCCTCCTGACGTGAAAAGCGCTATATCAAATGCAAGGATTATTATTATTATTATTATTATTATTATATCTAAAATGTATCTGTGTTTTGTTTGTGTGTGTCTTGGGAGGTGGGGGGTAAGGTGTGCGTGTGTGTGTGTGTATCTGTGTGTGTGTGTGCGTGTTGGGAGGTGGGGGGTAAGGTGTGTGTGTGTGTGTGTATCTGTGTGTGTGTGCGTGTTGGGAGGTGGGGGGTAAGGTGTGTGTGTGTATCTCTGTGTGTGTGTGCGCGCGTGACCCCATTTGACTGCCGACAGTAATTAGCGTTAGGGTTATAGAAAATAAATTCGAACCTCTCTGGCCTTTGGAATTAAACACAAAATCAATTGCCGCACCTGCCCCCTCGCACCGCCCCCACCCCCCCCCCCACTCTCTCCACTAACCCCACCCCCCACCACCCCCCTCGCCGACAGCACTGGGGGTCTCTCCAATCCGACACTAAATGATTTCATTTCCCAGCGCGGGCGGGTGGGCGGATGGGCGGGTGGGCGGGCGGGCAGGGCATGGCAGGGCACCTTCTGGGAAGCCAATGTCAGAGGAACCTGTCGTGTCTGTCAGGAGGCTGGCGAGGAGACAGCGTTACCGTGGTGATAATGTCGCAGCGGGAGGAACGAGGGGGCATCTTGATGGCGAAATGTGTAATTAAATGTGAGGCGAGGACATAAGACATGACCCAGGCATCTCGCAGCGAGTGTTTAAACTGCCTGAGCCACACACACACACACACGCACACACACACGCGCGCGGGCGCACACTTACCCCCCCCCCCGCCACCCACCCACCGACCCACGCAAACACACTCACCGTACGCGCACCCACACACACACTGCCCCCCGCGCGCACACACACACACACGCGGACGCACGCACACACACACGCGTATACTCTCCCCCACACCCATCTCCCCCGCACACCCACAACCCCCCCACCACACACACACACACTCTGCCCCCCGTGCACACACCCTCACACACAGACGCTCTCCCCCCCCCCCACACACACACACCCCCACACACACACACAGCCTTTGGGATTGGAGTGGCTGCCAGGCTCACAGCTCTGCCTGTCACAGCTGCTTCTCCTCCCATTAGGGATTCAGACGCCCCCTGATATACGAGATGTTGGTGTGTTTTCAGAGAGTGATTAATGGGGTCGGAGGAGAGGGGGTGGGGAGTGGGGGGGGGGGGAGAGGGGGGGGGGGAAACCTGTGCCCACTCCAACCCAAACGCTTCATCTTTCCCCGGGTCTGTAATGTCTGTTAATCATAATCCAGAAAGATTTCTAATCAGTGAGTCTGAATACTGTAGATAAAAGCGCTGATTATTGTGTGTGTGCGTGTGTGTTGGGGCGCGGGGAGGGGGGGGGTTGTGGTGGGGGCTGTTAGTGTGTGTGTGGGGCGGAGGTTTGGTACGTGTGTGAGTCGGGGGTCGGGGGGATGTGGGGGGGGAATGTGTGTGGGGATCGGTGTATGAGTGTGGGTGGGGGGGTGGGGATGTTGACGTGCGTCAAGCGCTCTGTGACGCTGCCCTGCGTGAGGGGTGGGGGGGGGCGTGCGGGAGGGTGAGGGGGGAGTATTCGTATGTGTGTGGGTGTGTGGGTTGGGGGGGGGGGGCGGCGGAGAGCATGTGGGGAGCGGTGGAGGGTTGGTGTGCACATGTGTGCGAGTCGGGGG